TTTGACAATAAATTTCATATATTGAAAAATAAAAAAAATAAAAATAAAAGTGTATTTTCTAAAAAAAAAAGAAAAAAAGAATAATATAAAACAAACTATCCTTTAACTACTACCCAGTTAACATAGAAATTATCCATGCCTTCTGGGGCTCTCTGCTTACACTACCCTCTCAAACAGGTAACAACAGCATTGAGGTTTACGTTGTTCTGAAGTGTCTTCTGTAAATATCTTTCATTTAGGAATTAAATATTTTAAAAAATATTGTGGATAATTTCATCTTGCTTAACATAACTGTAATGCAAATAGCCCTTTAAAATTATATTTTGATTTACTTATTAAAAACCCTTATTAAAAAGGGTTTTGTCTGCATACAAGCAGTTACTTAAAAGGCAGCATGGTTTCAAATCTGTAAGTTAGGAAACTATTAGTTTCAGGAGTTTCAAAGATCCGGAAGAAGGGAATCTTGAGGAAAAGGATTTCAAGTGAAATCAAGGAAGTTACTCACTGGTGTACTGTTTCTTTTTCTTTACTAGGAAAAAGAGAACAAAGAGGTAGGATTGAAAACCAGCCCTTAAGTGTTCTTGGCAGAATCAGTACCACCAATGAGTAGCTAAAAGACTGAAGTATGGCTTAAAAGTTTTTATGACGGGGGTGCCTGGGTGGCTCAGTCAGTTAAGCGTCAGGCTTTGGCTCAGGTCGTGATCTCACGGTTTGTGGGTTCGAGCCCCGTTTTTGGCTCTGTGCTGACAGTTCGGAGCCTGGAACCTGCTTCGGATTTTGTGTTCCTCTCTCTCTCTCTCTCTCTCTCTCTCTCTCTCTCTCTGCCCCTCCGCCACTTGCTTTTGGCCTCTCTCTCTCTCAAATAAACATTAAAAAAAAAATTTTTTTTTAATGAAGTTTTATGACAGCACATTTCCTATAGGTTACAAAGTGTTTATTTTAACCATGTTTTTGAGTGGTGAAGACTGCTTCAGAGGTCATATCCTGTGTCTCGTCATTGTCTTTATTGCTGAGCCCCTGAAACCTGAATCTGGTTCACATGACACTGATTTCCGTTTTCTTGGTAGAGTTTGTGTGTAGTCTTTCATCTTTTAGGAACTGTAATCCTCATAATTCCTAGTTTTAAATGGGTAAGGAGAGTTTTGAGCAATGTCTGTGATGTAATTTGGGGGGGGTGATTATGTGCATACGCATACACGCACACGTGAAGTATGCGTACGCATAAAAATGCCTGTGTCTACCTTGACAGTTGATACATGTAGGGAATAGCCTTTAGATGACGGGTGCCTTGGCTAAGAGTGTGGGCTCTGGATTTAAAGTCCACATCCTGGATTGCCACTAGCTAGCTCTATATATAGCCTTGGGTAAGTTATTTAACCTCTTTGTGATAGTGTCTCTATCTATACGGTGGCAGTAATGAAACCTCTATGTGCTTTAGTGGCTGGGAGGATGAAATAGGTTAGTACACAGAAAGGTCTTAGAGCTTAGAGTAAGTGCTCCATGAGTGTTGGCTATTATTTAAATCTTGTCCCTGGTGCCTTTTGGTTAGAAGCACACTTCTTTGCTTAGGTTGCCATTTGTGTGTGGGGAGATGTTCTTTCTAGAACTATGTCTGCTTGTCACATGATTATGTGCAGTGTGAGCCTTATTAATACTCCGTCAGCATTTGAGGTTTGAACATAAGTTGTGTGGCCATACCCAGTGGAATCCAGCGCGAGAGAGAACTAAGCACCGTAGCAACTGTTGCTATTTATGTCCTGAGCAGCAGCTGCCCTGGACAGATTTATTTTTAATCCTGATCTCACTGATAGCCTGGGATGTGGCCATGCCTTCCAGAGAAGCAGATTGGTTGAGATGTCTGGTCTTTGAGGAGATTTCGTGACCACATGTTATAAAGATTCTATTCCATGTGAAATATGAGACGCTGAAGCTTTGTATGTAAGAGAAAGGAAGAGAGGCGAAACTTCAGCATTCAGTCAGTCCCCAAAGTAGAGTGTGACTGGATTAATCACTCGAGAAATATTTTCACTGTCGGCAGTAAGGCTTCGTGCTTTGCAGTCAAGAAGTAATTTTGCTTTCTGTAACATTCTACAGAAGATTTGTGGTGTGTGGTTCTACTGTATACATACGTAATACACACATGTACACGCATACTTGATTATCAACTGTGGATTTCAGCAAAAAGACTGTCTTTCATTATCAAATGCTTTTCTAAAGTAATAATAAGGTCTTTAAAAAGAGTTTATTTCAGGTAGTAGTTGGATCGATTCAGTAATTTTCTAATTTTTATTTCTGATGTATTGAAATATTTTAAGCTTTATGAAGTACCTTGAAATAGTAATGTGGCCCATTTCCAAATTTTGAATATTTCGTGAGCACCTACTATATGCCAGGCTGTGTTCTAAATCCTGGTGGCACCCGGTGAATGTTGTTGGTCTGATTCTTTTAAGTTCTGTGGACAGATCCTGCCTATTAAAGATGTGATTTTTAAAAAAAATTTTTGTATTTCCATGTTCGGATTCAGTAGTATGAATTTCCTGATTTGGGTGTTTTGAATTTACAACATAACATCATGTTGAACTAAAGAAAATGTAACTGAGTGACTTATCAAATCAAATCATTTTCATTCTCTAGGTATTATTAACCCAAAGAACCCAAAGGAAGCTCCAAAGTCCTTCAGTTTCGACTACTCCTACTGGTCGCACACCTCGGTGCGTATACTCGGGGTGCGGCGCAATAGAGCGGGGCAGGCCGGGAGCAGTTGTGAAAGCGCTCGAAGGTCCACAGGGAAAGCAAAGATGCCCAACACCCAGGAAACGGAGAGAGCGGGGCCCTTTGCAGTGCCCTTACTTGGTAAAGGACCCCCAGTCTTGCAGGCTCCTGGGGATTGTTCCTCAACTAGAGCTTGCTTCTGCAACTCTTCATTACATGTTTTTCCTGGTTTTTTTGGTTTTCCTCTTCTGTTTTGTGTTGGAGTAGGAAAGGTTTCAAACTCCTGACAAAGCCTGCTGGCCAAGGGAAGGGGTCTGTGAAGGGGGGTCGACGCTTGTCACTGGGAGCTGGGTTTATTGAGAAATAGCCACACCACCTGGAGTGAGTGCAGAGGAGTATTTCTATATATGGACTTGACCTTTGATCTTTCAGTCCCATTTTCCATTTAAGAAAACGTTCTTGCAGCTTCTATGAATGGAAGAGTAATACTTTTAAGATTATGGAAAGTGAAATGTAATCAAGTGAGGTAATTTCATGTAGGTATTTTTACGTGTGGCTGTGACCTGGATGACTGTGGTTGTGTGTGTGTTTAATAGAAAAATAAACTGTGTGTTGGAGGAACTAAGAAATTTTATAATACATTTTAGGTGACTGTTGAGATTCCAGACACTTTTGATTTATTATAGAAGTAATCAAATAAACATAGGAAAGTATACAAATAAAATGCCATTGATTTCTCCTTTTAATCTTTCCAGCCTGAAGATCCCTGTTTTGCATCTCAAAACCGCGTGTACAATGACATTGGAAAGGAAATGCTCTTACATGCCTTTGAGGGCTATAATGTCTGTATTTTTGCCTACGGGCAGACTGGTGCTGGGAAATCTTATACAATGATGGGTAAACAAGAAGAAAGCCAGGCTGGCATCATTCCACAGGTAAAGAAGCAAAAAATGACAAAAGACCTCTGTTTATTATTACTCTTAGTCTTCAGTTGCTATAATAGTTATTTTTACTTAGCAGACCCTTATTCAGGGACTGTTGTATGTGAGGCACAAAAATAAATCACTGGTCCCCTTCTCTCAAAGTAACTAGCAGTCTGGTGAAAGAAGACTGATGTGTATACATGTCCGTCTTTAAAGGCGGGGAAGTTGACGTTCTGTAAAGATTTTGCTCTACCCCCACGTCTGGTTATTGTATCTCCTGACCCGTGTTACCAGCTTCTTAAAAAAAAGTGGTAGTATGTGCCATGCTCTGTTCTGAGTCCTGGGGACACCAGTGTTGTTGCTGGTCTGATTCCCCCGCCCCCAAGTCCCATATATAGATCACCTCGTAAGCATGAGATTATTTTCGTTTTTTGATTGCCTTCTCAGAGATATTTTCCTTTTATCTTACTAATTCAATGCTAACACTTTAAGCTTGAACGGTCTGGGAATTCTTAAGAGCAGTGTCTTTGGCCTTGTATTGTTCGGAATGGAGAAGAGTTGTAACCCAGGTATTTAGAAGGAACTTCTTTTGGTAATAAGAAAAATATGGTTGGTTTGCATTTATTGGTGATGTTTGGAATTAATTTTAAAGTGTTTTTTAAAATACAGGCCTAGTGTGACTCATCTCTGTATTCTGAGAACAAAATATCATAAGAGAGCAGTAGCTACTTTTTCTAATGGATTATTGGAGCATAATTTTAAATTCAGCTGTATAATTGAAATGCTTCACTATCAGTAAACGTCAAGAATTTTTCAGAAAAGAACATACTAGCATATTTTTTTCTGTGAAAAATACATGTCAATATGAAGACATACTTGGGAATTTTCCTTCTTTATATACAGGAATAGCAATTACAGTACTAATTGGAGAAGACATTAGGTAGCACTCACCATGTGCCAAGTACTGGTCCAAGTGTTTCACAGACATTAGCTTATCTAATCCTCCTCACTTGACCCTAAGAGGTAGATGTTGTTGTTTCTTTTTTCATTTTTCTCTTCTCTTCTCTTTCCTCCTTTCCTTTCCTTTCCTTT